AACTCTACCCTTGCTGGTACCGACTTAAAATTGAAAAATGGCAGAAAAGGATAATAAATTGTTTTAAAAATGTATGTAAAAAAACTATTGCAATTAGCGTAAAAATGTGTAGAAATGTAATTAAAGAGCTCAATAATATATTTAAAAAAATATTAAAATGATGGTTTTCTTTTTAGTTGACAAAATCGAATTTTTGAGTTAATTATAATCAGGTAAATTATAATTAGGTAAATACATAACAAACAAATGTTGTTATTTCGATCACAATTCTTCACTATTCTTAAACCATAGTAAGAACAATATAAAAAAATCATACTTTTACATTTCAAATAAAAATTATTCAACATCAAAAGGTACTAATTTATGTAAAAAATAAAAAAAAAAAATAGATAGAGATTAACAATTGGTTGAATTATAAAATATTAATATATCCATATTGAATAATAAATACGCTCAATAATTTAGATCCAATATTAAAAAATACTATTTTCTTAAATCTTAAATATACGTCAAATTCAATAAATATTTATTAATTAACTTAATTAACTTAATCTGCTTAATAATGATATTTATACATATATGATTTATAAGGCTTACATATAGTTTTGTGATTGTAATTAGGATATTGTTTACCATAATCCTATACTGTCTAGAAAACTTTAGACAAATTAATATTATTTTAAATATTTAATGAAAAAAAAAAATGTATTTATTTGTAACAACAACTGTTTTTGTTCTTAATTTTTGTTAATTTTACAATTAAATTCTTCCATCAGTTTAACATGGCGTTTGGCGGTATCGTTAACGACTTTTAAGGATCAAATTATTTCCTTTCTTTTTTTTATAATCTTCATTTTCATCCCAGTATATTGGATCCAATGATAAAAAATTAGTATGAATATCAAATCTATCAAACAGGTTTATTGATTTATATGTATATATTTGAATGGATGTGTATGTTGTTTGTAGTAGTAAAATTAAATTTCAAAACTATACATAGAAGAAAACTTTATCCATGCAAATAATAGTTGTATTAATTTCTCGTCGCCACAGTAAACTGCTGCGATGAACATCGTTCGCATTGAACAGGATAAGATAAATATTCTAAAATGAATAAAATATTTACGATTAAAGATATAACAAAAAAATGATGATAATAATAACTATGATGATTTCGTCATTGTACTATAGTCTATTCAGAATAAGAGCGCCCAGTCACTTGAACGAAAACTGGTTCTTACTGCGTATGTATCCTTTCCACCAGGAACGTTGTAGTATGCCGATGCGTTACGACGCTGTTATACGTAGTGAACTGTATTACCACACTTTTCTCCTAACGCCACGCTATATTTCTACTTTGAATAACAAGTTTTTTTTTTTTTTTTTTTTTTAATAATAATCTGTACTATCTGACTATAATAACAAGTTGTGTTTTCCATATCGAAACATTTCGTTTCTTAACCATGTTCAGTTTTACTTATAATATAATGTACAATATATTCCAAAAAATATATATATATTTTTTTTTTTTTCATTTGTTAGGGTATCATACTTACGGGTTTGTATTTTTGTGTGTGCGCATGCGTAGCGCCATCCCAAAGGAATAATGGTGCTGTACGGATTTAATTATTGCACGTTTTCTTTTTATCGCCTCGCATATTGCATCCCCGCCCACGAATTTATTATACGCGTATAACTCTTGTTTCATTTTATTTCGCGGAACGATTTCGTACGTTACATTACCTATGTCATGCTGTCATGTGTCGAAACCGTTAAAACATCGTAATGACCGCGCGTGGTGTGCACGCATTACGATACGTAATAATATCGTAGCAGGTTGTTAGGTTCTCCGGAAAGGGTCTGTCGGTTTTTCGTATTATAATTTTTACGTTTGTTTTTTAATACTTTGTCGCGGACAGTTTGTTTGCCGTCGAGATTCGCGTACGCGTGCGCGCAACGCAACAGTCGAACACGCGCGTAAAATCCGTACAGACCACGGACACCGTCTGCGTTCGGGGTTCCGGGGGAAAAAAATGGGTTTTTCTCCTCGTCTTATTATTACGGGTAAAGGGTGGAAAATATTTTTCATCGTTTTCGAACCGAGCGCCCTTCGACGGTCCGCACCGCGATACGCAACGAAACGATTTCGCATATTTCGCTTCGCAACACCGGGTCGGTCCAATACCGAAATGTTCGGTTACAACCGAATCGGCATTACTTCCCCCCCCCCCCCCCCCCCCCCCCCCCCCCGTTTGTACATAACACGAACACGTACCCGGTGCAAAGCGATTTTTCCTCGTCCCATTTCCATACGGATTCGGTATAGCAATACACACATGTATACGAACCGCACGCGCACATTGCTTAGGTGTTCGACCTACGCACGCGTTCGAATCAAACTTCGGATCGTAAACCGATTCGGTACGGATTACGTTTTGATCGTTCCGACAGCACGGATTGTGTACAATGCGACACGATGTAGGCTATACTGCAGTGCGATGTTCTCGTTTTCTCGCCGCGCGATCCGCAAGTGTTGCGTATGACGTATGTTCACGAGTCCGGATAAAAAAATGAAAACAAAAAAACGTCATCCGTCGTACACTTACGCGTGCGCGAGTACATCGCGATCTGTGTAAACTTAACGCACTGCATTAGATGTGCCGGTACGTAGGGCGTAACGCTTTTATTTTTTTACGTGCAATATATTCTTGTGCCCGTTCGGAGATGCGTCGAGGTAGATTGGTTTGAAAATGTAAACGTTTCTAAACGTGATATGGCATTGTAAAAATGTTTTATTAAATCGCTCGAGTGTACGACGGTACAACGTCTCGTGGCTGTTTTTGTACGTAACTATAAATGTGTGACAATTATTCAGAGCATGCACACATACACACACGTGGTGTTCTGGAGTGTTTATACACAATTACAAACCATTTATATATGAATAATTTTTGTCTGTAAACCGTTAAGCGCGCACGAACCGTATATGTGCACCACGTAAAAATTACGGGAAATCGACTCATCTGTCAAACTGTACTCGATGCACGGTCCTCAATTTTTGTCGTCTTCAATCGTGTTCGAAAATCTCGTACATATCGTCCACAACGCACGTTTGATTACCGACAAATTATACCTAAACCCAATAACGCCTAACTATTATAATCGTATAACTACTTGTATGTTACGGTAGGAGTGCGAATACTGTGCTTAGGTGGTACGGTATATGTAAATTTTCAGTACCGATTTACGATAGTATCAACCGTTAACAGTGTGGAACAGAAAATTCAAAGTTCAACGGCAACAGAAAAATTGACATTTTTAACAAATTGTCATCCTTCAATCGTTACGCACAAAGCAAAAAGAAATAAATGAAACACTTTGAGTGTTGTCGAATGCTCGTATAATATGAATAAATAGTTTTTTTTTTTTTTTTTTAATTTAAAAGTGATATCGTCTTTTTTGACATAGTATAATTCGCGACAGTTACAAAAATACAAATATTCAAATGAAATCGTTTGATCTTCTTTATAAAAGATTCGTGTTAGCGTGCATTTCATTAATTTCTCCAAGGATATATATGTATATACATGTATTTAATACAAAATAAATACAAAAATACGAATTACATTCGGCGTGAGCGTAGACGATGTATCTTATACGATGTCAACCAACGGCCACGGGTATTCAAATGAAATGTTTTTAATTCAGCTCGTTTTATTATATCAGCGATAGGGAGACGAGGTGTGTATTCGTCTGAAAATGAAATTTTGTCGACCAAAACTTGTTATTGTAGACGATTTGTTATTGAGGTTGACACATTAACATATACCAGTCTGTAAAATAAAATGTACGAGAGATTTACATTTATTTAGTTGCATACGAAAAACATAGACTTGAAGATGTTTTTCATAAGACGTTAACGAGAATTTTTACTGCAATTTATTTTTGTCGGTTTTCTTCGTTTTATTTATTTGTTTATTTTTCTCCCCCATTCCCGTTGTTTTAGTTTCCCCGAGACCGAGTATGCGGAGTCCGTTTGCTGCCGCAGTCATAGTACATTATTAATTAACGTTGCACTGGTTTTAAACAGAGTAAAAAATAATAAAATCGTTTTTAAAAACTACATTACTTGCATTGTGTAACCTTTTGTCTAATAATAGTATTTTCTTTTCGTAATGTCGTTTTAAAATTATACGTACCTAAAGCACGCAATATCACGCAGTTAGAATAATGTATATACACAATTCGATATACATTTTATATTGATCAGAGAGTATTCATTTCGATTGCTATGTATTTGATTCGTGTCGATTTGTTTACAATTTTCGAATAATATTTATTGTTCTTAATCTTACCGGTAATATTTCTATTAAGCCAAACGGTATACGTAATTATTTAGTTAGATTTAGTTGAAAGTACTTGCGTGCATATTGACTACGAGACGTTTTTATTACCGAACGTTACGGTCGAAAACACGTTGAACATTCTAAATTACGATTTTCGGTGTTTCGAATACGTCTTATTCGACTGAACGTGTATTCAACTACTTTTGGCGGTATCTATATTTGTAGTTCAAAACGCTTCAATCATTTATGTATATCTAATTATGATATGTACTAGTTTAACGGTTTTGAGTTGTGTACTTGTTATATTATATTTACATGCACATTGATGTTAAATACATTTGAAAATCATAATCAACAATCGTAAATTCTATAAATTCTAAGTGCTTTCTTATTCAGAAATCAAAATTTTCAATGGAGATTTTTTTTTTCAAACCTGTGTTTGATGAATTCTGAAAAAAGTGATGATAATTGCGAAAATTCAAACGTATCATCGTACATAGTACACGATAAAAATATTTTGGTATATGTAATTCTTCCGCGAGTATTGATGTCCGCTTATAATTTAGAGAAAACGTTCCCGTTCTGATGAATAATGATATTTTTATGAATACAAATCGGTACACGGTATTTTTAACGCGTCTTGTCTGCATACAGGTATGGCATCACATGTGCCACGGTCACAAACCGAAAATACAGGAACAGTGCAACACTCAACCGTGCTACTCGGAATGGGCGACCGGTGAATGGTCCAAAGTGAGTATCGAAGAACATTGTTACGCCGTCGTTAGCCGCGGCTCTGCTGACGACGAAAACAACCGTTAAAACGTATAAATAATGTTAATTTGTTGCACAGTGTTCGGCGACGTGCGGCGATGGACTGCAGATCAGGAACATCACGTGCCGATCGAAACAGAAGTACTTGACTTGCGATCCGATGACGGAGCCCAGACGGACGAAGACTTGTTCGGCGAACGTCCCGTGCTTCCGTAAGTGCAAGCCCCGCAGTCAAATGGTCCACGAGTCGTACGGGAGTGACGCGTTGCAGGGGGGGGGTATGGACACCGGTGACACATCGACACTCGTCGAAACTGGATAGGTTCAAAAATACTCGTTGCGTCCCGTCGCCTTCTCATCCGTACTCGTGTAGCAAACGGACTAGGGCCGGCGTTACCTTTTCCTGAGGCCCCGGGCAAAACTTACGTTTTTCAATGACAATTTTAAGCGTGAGGCTCTGAAAAAATTTCGCGTTTTATCCTCCCCCTAACGCCGGCCCCGGAGCAGACTTCACGGACGCTTCCCGTGCGGTGAACTCGTGGAGGGCGCATCGGCCGGACGTGCGTGCGTATTTCCCGCACCGGTAAACGTCACTTACGTCGCGCGTGTTGCCCTGACGGGTCGAAAGAGGTTCGTGAAACGGGTCCGTGGGCGATTAGTGACGATAAATTTAAACATTGTCGTTTACGATATCCGCGCGCATCGACATCGGGTTCGTTCCGAAGTTCACCGTTACGTTAATCGGAACCGGGGGGCGGAGGGTGCGCACCAGTTGCTACGTGATAAACATAAAATTATATTATTCGATTTTTCGTAATTCTATAACACTTCAGTCATTGGACGTAATGAACTTCAAAAAAAAAAAAAATCGAAAACCCATTACGTTGTATTACACAACCCTATTTTTAGGGATTTTGGGGGCATACGCCTCCTTCGGCCCCCACACTTTTGGATCCGATCAGAAATGTTGAAGCCGTGTAAGCGAAAAGCGTTCGGTCTTCGGCCAAAGACTTTTTTTTGCGGCCGTGCGCACTTAACCTGAAACATTTCTAAAACGTGCGATGCTCCCTATATACACCGCACGGTAGAGCTTTAGACCCGCTGCTATCTGCGCGTGACGACTGGCATACATCCGTATGAAATAATATCGCGAGTGCACGAAAAATGTCGCGTGAAGGACGACACGTACTGTACCCGTTAGCCGTTGACGAGCCGGCATTTTCATCCCCCGTCGCGGACTTCTGACAAGCGACGCTCTCGGTCGAAGTGGGCCGAAGATAAATGGTGCTGAGCTTCCCGCGCGAGATAAATTCGTCCGTCGGTTGTCGTCGCACTAAGCGCGTGTGCGAGCGAGTGCGTTTTCGCGCGCGCGTATGTGCGATATGAGACAGACGTTCCCTTCAGGAAAGAGCAGGTCATTCCATTTAGCTGCGACGTCACCGCGAGCGCGCACGAACCACGCGCGTATCTTAAAAATGGAAAATTCAATGCGTTGTCGTCGATCTCGATTATTCGTGAGAAAAATCTCGCCGAGGGACCCAAACGAATTGAACGGATGAACGGGATATCGTGTGTGCACCGTCACCGTCGTCGTATAAACGACCGCGCCCGCCCAAGACCACCGCCAACGCGAATAAATATAATCGTAAAACGCACAAAAATCGGTTTAAGTCTATTTTATTTTCGATTACATAACCGACGACGACGGTTCGGCAGTAAAACGGCGGGTTTAAATTACATTTTTCAGACCGCAGCTGTCGACGGTCGATACAACGATAAACGTACACTTGCTGTGCACACGCATAAACCCTTTGCCGCCCTCGGGCTATTACTACGGTTTTCCTTAAAAAATTATAAGTATTACATGCGCGCACCAGCGTTCGCTTAACCCCTCTAGCTGGTCATCATGACGGTCGTGAAATTCGCTCGAAGGCTAATCGAATCATTTCGATTTATATTAAAGACATTTTCGCCGTATCGTTTTTACCGAGGCCATTTCATTCATTTGCAATAAAAATAACACTCTTTCGCGTATAAAATCTTCGTCCCGGTCGATCACACCGGAGATAACTTTATTTTATTTTTGATTATTTACAGGATGTTTCTGAAATTAAATCATTAGTATTGTGTACTCGATGAAGTGGTCAAATGAAGATTTATTGACATTTTTTTCCATCTTCAAAATCATTGTTTATTCAAATTAATTTTAAAATATTTTTAAATTGTTACATTATGTATATAAAAATAAACACTCCAATTACATTGTTTATAAAATTCTTATACGAATCGAGACGTCACACCGTTTTGTCATGAGTTTTTTCACGCTCGAGTCGCCGACTAAAAAAATTAAGAATGAAATAATTACAAAACGATCGTATTTTTGCCATACGATAATCAATAGTCTAATCTTATAATGATATAGTATGGTAACTTTTATATAAAATTTCATTATTTAGAGATAAAAAATTAGCTATTTATGTACATAGTATTAAATTAATTAGTAAAAAACCAAGAAAATTGAATTTTGTTATTCCTGCACATTTTTAATACATATTTAATTATATAATAGCTATATAATACGAGTATATGAATTTGTTAATTAAATTTTTGTATCCTTACAAATAACAGTGGGAAAGGGAGGTATTATAATTTTATGAGAGATACTGTGCTAAACCCTTCTTCCCACTCGGAGGCGGTTTATAAGCTCTTTATACCAGGGAAGTGCCCTCGTAGAAAGATTTTGAGATGGGTGGGCGAGTGGGTCAGTAACTCAATGCTCAGTTGTTACATAGCTACATAATTAACGTTTTAACGTTAAAGCACTTACAATGTAAATAGAGCCTAGCTAGGGAAATTTTTTTCAGTGTTTTTCGGTGGCTAAAATTAATCAGCCCCATTAAGATGTAAATGTTGAAACCGCCTCCGTCGTCAATTTGAATTTCTTTAGTACGTCTTAATAAGAGCTCATATTTTTTCGTCGACAAAAGTTACAAAATCAAAAACCATAAATTGTTTTCCGCTTATCGATAAACGGTTATTATGTTATAATTGTACAAGACGAACAAACAGAAAAATATTGATTGCATTGCGGAACGTCGTTACACTCACCGAAACAACGGTCCGAAAAGATAATATTTTCGGTGCCTCGTAACGCATAACGCATCAAAGTATCGTGTTTTCACTTGTGTGATAATGGTCTACGCACTTATATTTGTCACTTAACGTCGTGTTTGTTTTTGCTGTGGGTGTTGCAGCGATGGCGGACAACTTCGAGGCGGAATCGAATTTCCCTGAACCGTCCAAGTCTACGAGTTTTTCGCAGGCCCGCGCTCAGCGGTTGGTTGGCCAACAAAAGACGTCGCCGCACACACTGTAAACATGCTTGGCATTCACATTATTTAACTGTTGCCCGCGCGCGTCAACGGCTTATCTAACCGAAATGCGTTTAGGTTCGTCTCGGACAACTGGAGCCCGTGCAGCGTGACGTGCGGCGAAGGGATCAGGACGAGAAAAGTGTACTGCAAGGCCCATTTGGATTACACGCAGATCATGACGAAGTTGACGGACGACGCGTGCGTCGGTCCGAAACCGCCCGAGGTCGAAAAATGCTTCCCCATGCCGTGCACGATAAACAAAATGTAAAGGCGTTTTTTAATTTTTTTTTTTTTTTTTACTCTCGTTCCTTTCTTCCCACGCGCCAACATGTCTCACGGTTTTGATCGCGGTCCTAGGTTTGATCAAAACGAGCGGTCCATCAGAGACGGGTACGCAGACGCGAGCTCCGAAGATTTCAATCCGCCGAAAGTGGCTCCCGGTTCGTTTGGTAAAACATACTCTTGGAAAAGAGAAGGCTTTACGCATTGCAGTGCTTCTTGTCTTGGAGGTTAGATTTGTATTGGCTGGATCATAATATACGGTTAAAAAAAAAAAAAAAAAGTACATCGACGAATTCGTTTTTATACAAATGAATCGTAAGAAAAACGTGTTTCGCGCAATCAAATCGTAATAAGAATAATCACGTTACGGTTTCTATTAATTAAATAATCATCGTATTATGTTTGTGTGTTCCTAGTAAAACGCCGTGCTTCAGCTATTCGTCAACGTAAAACGCGGTTGTGATTTTAAATATGTTTTTGCGGAGGCTTTCGCATGGAAAATCGTTACCGATAAATAAATCACATGGTTGACAAAACTATTTAGTAAATTTATTGTGTTTTTAACTTCATTAGAAAAAATTTCTTTAAACAAAAAATACATACATTGATAGTTTTAATCGAATTGAAGAGATTCTGAAATATGGTAATATTATAGTGTGTTAGAAGCCGTTGGGGGATACCATAATATTTAAGTGTTCAACCGACAAATTGTATGCTCATTTAATTTTCATACGAAAAGCCTATGTAAAAAACATGTACTGTGCATTAGAATTTTTGCCGTAGGTTAGAGCTGATACATTTATTTTGTTGAGAGTAAAATTTTGCAGTATAAAATTTATAACAATAACTAGTTGAAATAGCTTCACCCGGGTGTAAAATACTTGTGTATAACTTCCTCTAAATATTTAATATAATAAATGCTTTAAAATTGGTCCACGTTGTATACATTTCAATAGCTTTAAACATTCCCTGATCAACGCTAATATTTTCTGCAACCGATGGCAACCCTATACAAATAAAAAAAAAATATTTGAAATTTCCTTTGGCCAAAAATAAATTCCTGGGTGAGCATATTTTTAAAAATCAAAGAATAGAAATATATATTGCCTATTTGTATACCGCTTTTTATATTTTAAAATTTAAACGATGGCTATTCTATTCAGCTTCGCTATATTATTAAGATGCATTTAATGAAATAAAATGAAAATATGAATTCCACAAAGTTATTGGTAACAATCAAAAAATTTAATTGCACAATAACAACATTGTCAATATAAGCTAAATTAGATATTAAAATAAATTATAAGAAAATAATTAAATTATAATATATTATTTTTTATTTATGTTTAATCGTCAAGCTTAATAGTTTACTAAAAGCTCAAATAAAATAATAAATAAATAATAATAATGCAAGAATAAAAATGTAAATTAATAATCGTCTTATTTTCTCTATAACATCACTATATTTCTGTCCCACGCGTTGAGTTCAGTTTCCTTTTTGCCATTTTGTTTTTAATTGATATAATCAAAAATAATTATAAAGATCCAGAGGTTAGTTTAGCCCAGAGGCTCTCGAATCATTATGATCTCAAGCGCGAGCAATGGGTATTTAAAAAAGTTATCATGTAGGATATTGAAAAAATAAACGGAGAAAAAAGCGCCAATGCAAACGTTCTGAAAAAAGTACTTTCACATTTTTACAGTTTGACGGACGGATAGATTAGATTAGTGGTTCTCGACCTGGGGGGCGCGCCCTTCCAGGGAGGCATGCCAAAATGTTAGGAGGGGCGTGAAAAAATGTTGAAAAAAAAAAAAGCACGAGAATCGAAAACGTCGCCGTTTTCCACGCCGTCAGTTGCCGCTGTGTTTGTCGTGGCAGTTGTCGATTATTTTTTTTTTTTTTAGTTTACATATAAATATCATGCACACGTCAGAGTCTTGTAGTAGCGAGGGGACGGGGCGTGAACTCGTTTGAAACGGGGCGCGGATCTCAAAAGGTCGAGAACCCATGGATTAGACGGTTTGAAAACGATTACGAACAGGTACGATACGTGTACGTATAACAGGTTAGGTTAGGGCTTTGAAAAGTTTTTTTTTTTTTTTTTGTAAATCATTACGTAACACGTGTCGCACGCCGTAGCGGATACGCCGTCGTGGCTTGGTCGGGATAGTTGCGAACGGGTTTTTATTGTTATTCGCGTGCAAGAACGAATACGTTCTGTCGGACGCGGACGGTCGGTGACCAAACGTGTGTGTGTGTGTGTGTGTTCTCGGTTGGCGCGCAGGTGTCCAAGAGTCGCTGGTGCTGTGCGTCCGCGAGGAGGACAAGAAGATCGTGTCGCCGTACCTGTGCGCCCGCGACGACCAGCCGGAGGTGCTGACGCAGACGTGCAACGATCAGCCGTGCCCGCCCCGGTGGAACGCCAGCGAGTTCCAGCCGTGCTCGCAGAGCTGCGGCATCGGGCTGCAGATGCGCGAGGTGAACTGCATACACGAGGTGACCGAGGGCAACACGGCGATCGTGCCCAACAACATGTGCCCGCAGCCGCCGCCCACGGACCGCAAGCAGTGCAACATGATCGACTGCCCCGCGGAATGGCGCACGTCCGAATGGTCCAAGGTGCGCGACCGGTCATCTCTTTCCCCCGGGGGCCGCGCCGCCCCCGTGGTTCGTTGTTCCCCGTGCGCGCACCCGTTCCCCTTACCGTTTCGCCTTGAACCCGCCGGCCGACCGATTTTCTAACGTTACAGTGCGTCTTGTTAATCTTTCGGTTTCGACCGTATCTCTAGATTTTATCGCTTCGTTTCCGAGCAACAACGCGATCCGGAACACGAGGAAATAGAAGTTTTGCATTTACGAAGCATCCTCGTCGTCAACGACACGCGCACGTTTCGGGGCTACGCCTCTCCGTGTGTAAACAGCCGCCGTAGTTACCTTTATCCTTTGGATACAATGCAACCGTACCCGATGCGTAGACCTGTACGCTACACCCCGTTCGAGCGGCTGCCCTTACTCGGGTCCGTTTTCTTTTCGGCGCATCACGTGCCCGCGCCGCCCTCGTATCATCAGTGCCGCGATGGCACCGTCCCCACGGCTACCCTCTGCGGCATCCCTTTCGCCATTATTCTCCTGCGTCTAATATGGGTCGACATATTTTCGTCCGAGCTTTTGTTCTCGAAAGTCCTCGGTTTCCTGTCTGTCCTGTTAATCATTATCCAGCCCTCACACCCGTACGTCAAAGCTATCATTATTACACCTGCATACGGTCCGAGTTTTGTTCTTCTCGACAACATCTTAGGGCCGACGGATTTCGACACGGTGTAGTAGGTTTTCTGACCCTTGTACTGTGTACAATGCTTCTCCGAAACGATATCAATACGTGCACGACTTTAGGCACCTCACGCGTTTGTTGAGTTATTAAAAACGATATTACGTACCGTTTACAGTGCAGTAAAAAGTGTAACGGAGGCGTGAAAACGAGAGTTGTGGAGTGCGTGCAGAGGATAGCTCACGGGCACATTATAAATCGACCGGACTCGGATTGCGGTACCGAGAAGCCGCTGGACAGCAGATTGTGCAACCCGACCGTGTGCAGTTCGCAGGAAGCGATTATGGTATCGGACGTGGCCCAGAAATACGAACAGTCCACGCCCGATGAAGAAGTCATGCTAAAAGTCGGCGGCGAGGCGACCGTGTTCAGGGGAGTGGAGATGAAAATGAGGTGTCCCGTCGTCAACAAAAGGCAAGCTCGTAATTTTTATTAATAAAAAAAAAAAAAATCAAAAATTTAGATCCACTGTGATATACTGCAATACGGTGATTAGTGTTCAGATAATATTAAGAGCTCGTAAACAAATTGTTTGGATATTTTTAGAAAAATAATATTACTTTATATGGTATGTATTATAAATAATATTAATATGATTGTGTTCAAATCTCATTCTTTCCTTCGTAAAATATTATTTTCAAAAACTGCACTTTAAGTGATTAAACATAGATTTTTTTAATTTTATTTCGATCTTTCTTCTTGATTTTCTAATACTACTTTGAACATTTTAAAATTACTTCTTTGTAGTGACATATTTTATGATTATTTCTCCATCCATAACATCGCTATTGGAAACTTATACTGAAGCTTTACTACTCGAATGAATTTAAAAAAATACAGTTATTATAAAATACATAGCTTCAATAAGAATCTAAAACATTCGTTGCGGAATGGAGTTGATGCGTAGGTGTATACCTTCAGGGCAAAAATTCACCACCATTCAGCTTAAAAATATTATAATAGTTCATCACATGTTATATGTTATAATATACATACATTTAATTTGGTATGATAATTACATGCGTTACAGGGGTAAAATTCAATGGTCCAAAGATGGCCAGATGTTACAGAACGGCAAGAAAGTGCGGATATCAAAAAAAGGCATCCTCAAGATTAGGGCAACCACGTACTCGGACCGAGGAACTTATACTTGTAGCGGTAAACCGTAAATCATATTATCGATAGCGCGCTTTATGAGGGGTGGATTAAGGATTTGGTACATCTTATATATTTCCGATGTATGTGTATATTATTGAATAGATGTGCGATTGAGTAATTTAGATAGACGTTAATACTACGTCGAAACTTCTTTCAAAGTTTTAAAATTTAAATACTTACCTCGATCGCAATTCCTTTATTAAATTTGAGCTGAAATCCTTTTAATTAAAATTGCGATACGTTATTTAAAATGCTTGCACAATTGTAAGCGCCAATGGCTGAGAAACTGAGTAGGACGAATAACCGTTGCAAATGCGGTATATAATGTTTAGAAAGATAGAACGTAGTTAATATATTTAATTCCGTATATTTTCGCGTAGTATGTTTGGTTATATTTATTTCATCGATAACCTTGAATTATTTTAATGGGTACACTTCATTGTGGCTCATACTATTAAACGGGTTATACTTGCACTGCAGCTTAATAACACATACTGTAATTTTTAGCCGGAAACGCTCAAGCCACCATGAGTATTAACATAAAACCCCAGCCAGGTGAATTCCCGAGTTCGGAAGAAATCGACAAGCCCCTCAATCAACAAGATCCAGGTATGTGATATTTCTGGATCAGATACGACCAGTGTTTATTTTAGGCCTTCTATTTCGGAGGAGGAGAGATATCATACCTTTTTAGGGGATATGCCACAGAAATTAGTAAATAATTAAATTTTTTTCAAGGGGATGGTGTAAATTAGGGGTTTGTAGGTAATACCCTCTTTCCCTGGTCACCCTCCTGAAATAAACACTGGCAACAACAAATTTTTACTATCATCGTAATCATAATAATATTATATTAATACTAAATTCTAAATAACTAAATTACTAGAGTTGGACGAATATTGCTTTTTGATGATGAGTCGAGTTCAAAATTCGAGCACTTGAAAAATGTCGAGTGTATAGGAAATATTTGACTCCCAGATATTTATGGTTTTAATAATTATTTTTCAATAAATTAGTGAAATAAATTCGATTACTTGATTAATAAAGTCGAGTAAAGTGAAAAATACTCGATTTAAGTTGAGTACTCGTATTTACAAGTAAAAACATTTTTTTTTTTCGAGTTAAGTCAAGCATTCTAACTCGACTCGAAAATGTTTACAAAGTCACGTAGGTACTCGTTCAACTAACCTCTACAAATTACTTAAGTAATAATATCCTGGCTTTATTATCATTATCACTGTTTATTTACACATGTTCGCGTGTAATGTTTTATGCGCTAAAGGCATGAACCCTTCGTACGCGAATCCGCAAGGCATAGAACCGTCGTTTGACATCAGCCACGAGCGCATCAAAGGTGAACACAATCGCGAACAGAAACTACACAAACAACGGCAGAAAACTACCACTCAGTCCATCGTGACGAGCACGGCATCTTCTGAAAAGCACGTCGTTGTGAGTATCTCGTCGTATTTTCATTTTTTTTTTGATTATTATTATTAATACGATTATATTTTTATATATATATATTTTTTTAACTTTCCTATCCTTATTTTCATGTTTAATTGTATTATATATTATTTGATCTAATCTGACCTGTTTTCCGTCCCGCGTTTGATCACCAATAAGACAACGTCGATGGCATAATGTACACACCTACTTACTGCTATACCCGAATGCAATAGATATTGTATATAACTATGTATAGTAGTTAGTACATTACAACGTTTCTTTGTGTCTGTAAACAGGAAACAGAGAAAAGTGCTATAGACGTCTCCCCAAAACCCACCACTTCCGGAAGTTCACGAAACTTGCCTCACCTTCACAGTCTTCTTTTTAACCTCAAGGTGAGATAAAAGGAAAATAAAACTGAATTTCCTGGGTTATCACCGTAGATGATTAGTTCCCTTGATATATTTTTTTCTTATAAATACATAATGTGTGTTGCACATTCCGTTTGATTACCTACATTATGTGATATGGTTTATTTTTTATTTTTTATTTTTATAATATTATTATTCCCAACCATTTACGTAAAGCGCACAGAATATTTTATAAGCACACGCACATACTTTCATACACACATACATACATACACATAAACATACACGTATACACTAAAATAATTATTATAGTTTAGCCACCCGTATATGATCCTCACCACCTTTTACCTAATACAACCTCACGATTAAACCCTTGCATGTGTATACGTACTCGTTTATTTGATTCGATTCATTTTAATCTTTTATCCTCAGCACACGGCCGTTTTTAATTTTTTGTATATTACACGTATATAAAATAAACGCCACGTTATTTTATATATTACGCATTCGTTACTCCCTGTGCCACTACTACATGTAATACCATAAACGCGAACCCGGGGAAAGTTTTGTTTCATTTTCCGCCGGACGAAAAAGCCATATGACGAACGCTGATACTAATAAAATGAGTAGGCTCTGTGGCCATTTCAGGGATTCAACGGCGTGAGCAACGCGCGTGTAAACAGAATGTTTTTGGAAGAACCGGCGAACCCGGCAACCGGAAGTGAAACTACCACCGAAGAGGACATGTTCGGCAAGCCCGTCGTGCTCGGAAAAGGTATGCATATAACAACTTTCGACAGTAGCGATAGTAACAGTGCAACTACGATTTCTAACGGGGATGTCGATCGAATATTTTATGATCGAACATCTGTTTCGATCATCATTAACTTTAATTTTTTAAATATCTAAAAGCAAATATCTCCGTAATGTACTTACCTATACTGTAATATCGATTGTAATTTGTACAAATGACGTAGTATACGTTTATAGAGTACACATTACATAGCCAACGCGTAGGCGCGAAGTAGTCTTCGTGCAAACGGCGGAGCTAATCGGCTTAATTTAAATTTATCATATAGTGGTTTAACACCCACAGTCCACGGTATTTGGTTTGCCGAACGGGGGGGGAACGGTCCCTTCGCGGTTACTCCCGTCCGCAAATCGCTGATCGGTATCGCTTACAGTACGGTTGGTGGTCAGAGCGAGGGTGCGGGATCGGTGGAGGGATATTATTGTACAGTCGTCGGATAGTGATCGAAATCGAATGCGTGATAAAAAAATTCAAAGTAAAATAATCGAAAAACCACACAAACTTTTCAGGCGACCGTAAGAGCGTGAAATTCGAATGGGTCATCACGGAATGGTCGGAGTGCTCACCGCCTTGCGGAGGAAACGGGTTCCAGGTACGTGTGGATGTTTATGCGCGGGCGTAGGAAAATAGAAACCCGTACAACAATTATTCGGATTCACAATGATTGTCGTCCCGTTTCGCGTTGACGTGTTTGCAGATGAGAGCCGCTCACTGCATGGTCAAGCTGAACAACATGACGCAGAGCGTGGACAACAACTTGTGCGAGGACGCGCGGCTGCCGACGCCCGTGACCATACAGAAGTGCGAGACGGACGACTGCCCCCAGTGGACCGTCACCGAGTGGAAGCCGTGCGAGGAGTCCAAGTGTTTCACGTGGAACACGGGTACGTGCGAAATAACGGAAAATAATCAATCCGACCATATCGATCGGGCGGTCGCGATAATACTATCCCGTTTTCGTTGTCGTGATGACGGCGGTGCGAGGTAGACGCTTTTCGTTTCGATCGACGGGGCCACCGCGCGGGTAACCAGTGGCGTAGCAAGGGTTTGGCGAACACTATGCCTGCGCCAGGGGCGCGAATCGCAAAGCGGCGCGAAACCGTGGAAAAGTTCTTATTTTTATCCTACAGTCAAATCGACATTTTTCCATTATACTTTTTGAAATACGTAGATGCTGAATATTTGTTGTATACGCTGCGTGTGAATTTAATGATGAAATCATAAAAATAGCACAAGGATATTTTAATAAAATATTTCATATGAAGAATTTATCGATGTATTTGCCAGTCGTAAAGCGAGAAAAGTAAATTTTCAAAGTTTAAAATTAACACTGTATTAATAACTTATAGATATAAATTGCGTACTTAAAAGAATTAGTAAAATTGAACATTTAAAAAAATATCACGACATCAAATTTTAATCGGTTTAAAAGCGTTTTTTTCAAAGTTAGCCAAAGGTGCTATCGGGTCTTCCTACGCGTAAATAGTAGTAGTTACTACGCGTAACGCAACGTCGCGGATTTTCGAATAAAATATCGGCCTGAGCGCGGATGGTGAACTGGGTCTCGAGATAAAATAAAAAATAGTGTGTAAGTTGAGCGCCGGAAAAGAAAAAACTTTGTGTCGAGTCCCAGCAAAAAACTAATAATACGATAGTACTGTGTTGTAAATGTTTTTACTGGTAAAAACTCGAATGATACGGATATAACAAACTCAATTCGAGTTGCCGTATTATTAAAGTACTCCATCGTTTGCTCTCTTAAGCATTGTTCTTTATCGAGCGCGCTATTATTTTTTTCGCTCTGTGCTTTGTAATTTCGATTACGTCTCTGACCGTATTTATAATAATTTGTCGACATAATTAAAAATGTCAGGACGTTGGTCTAATCGTGAATGATATGATTTGCAACCATTTTTTATACGCATGGTGGCAGCTATGAATTCAGACCAAATATTTAGGGAAATTATAGCAATAGGTGAGATAGAATTAGGTAAGCGGGTTGATAACCTAACCTTCCCTTTTTATTCCCAGGACTCAATTATCGCTTTTAAAAGATACACAAATAATCGCGGACCCGATTTACCGACCTGAGAATCTGATTTGAAACAAAGTCTACCGTTACATTTTATTTTCACCTCCTGCAAAAATAAAAAAAAATTAGATCCCACCATTGGTAGAATCCATCGCCGATTACTACAACTGTTCTAAATAATACCGATCCCATGGCTGTCGACTGTCTTATCCGGGTGGACATAATTTTTATAAATTAAACACTAAATATATCTGAGTAGAATCATAATTTTATCCAATAAAATGTGCAGTATGTGCTAGATTAGATTTAATCATGTGCTCAATGTGTGCTTTGAAAAACACTTCTAAGTAAACATTGTTTTTCGAAAGGTCTTGTATGACAGTTCAAACTTTCACCTACACATTAATTTGTACTTACGAGTGTGATAACTTTCGAAATTCTATATCAAAAATATGTCGTCAATATTTGACTTTTCTTATTTTGCTTTTGTCAAAAACAATACAGCTATGCAATTATAAAAAGTTATAAACATCAACATGATGGAATATTTTTAGAGCAGCATCTCTTCATAATTATCAATTACAATTTTTAATTAAACTTCAGTAACAACAATGTAAATATTGTTGTAGGTATATATATAATATGATTGAAATAACTTTAATTGTACATAAAAAAATATAGGTGAATACTAAATATGCTCATAAATGTGTGCATGTAAAATTTTTTATGTTTATAATGCAATCGCGTTTAAAAAAAAAATTGGTTATGTGGGAGTTTCTATCTTTTATCTACCTTTTTGGTAGAAAAAAAAACCAACCTATGGAATTTATATTTTTTTTTTCGTTTTTTTTTTTTTTTTTTGTCTTTTAAAAGTATCAAAGGAATCTAATCGAAAATCGTGGAAATCGGTAAAATTTATATGCATCGATCAATATCCTCTAAATGGTTTTGATATTTTGCTCGATTATAAAAAAAAGCAGTGTATTTTTCAAATCGCAATGAAATCAATTACAAAATTTTAATTTCGTCATTGCAAATAGTTATAGTCACTAATAAATGTCAACAAAGTTCTGAGGAAACTATCACTACGCGTCACCAACGTCGATGTCCAGAAATCATGTATTATAAATAACCATATCACCTGTACACTATTTTAATAATATGTTATACGAATAATAGAATCGAGTTGAGTTTGTTAATCTCGGAAATTGATGAATCATTAAAAACACTCAGAGTTAGAGATTATTAAAATTTTAGTTAGAGGAATAATTGCAGAAGCATAAAATTCACTTACGACCTTTTCATTGCATAAAAATATTTACTGTCCCACAAAATATAATAAATACAATATTGCATTACGGTTTTTCGATAGACCCTAACATTATGTTAAACGATTGCTACTCCTGTAAACGTAGAACTTGCAAACTCAAATAAAGCGGTTCGTGAAACTAATTTGATTCTCTGTACCTACTTTTGTTAAAAACGTTTAAGACGAACGGATCGGATGATACGGAATTAACAATAATGTATCGTTGTAAGCCCGGATAAATTCGATGCGAACTCTCACGGGGAGGATTGATTTGGGGGATCGAAAACACACTCGCTGAAGCCGTGAAATCCAGTCCGTCGACTCGGCTGTATAATCATTTTATGATGTGTTGTATTATGGTAATGAGTACTCGCGCGTAGAGTGCCATTAAATGCGCGTATATACGATCCTTGTTGCGTGCGCATAAATATTTGACGATAGTTTAAATTTTTAAACGCGTCACCCGTTTTCGTTTTCACTTTGCGCAGCGATGCAGAGACGGAACGTGTACTGTCAGAATTCGGATGGAACCACTATATCGGACGAGGCGTGCCACGGGATCGAAAAGCCGGTGAACCGGAAAGAATGCTACAACGATCAGTGCAAAGGAACTTGGAAAGTAGGCGAATGGTCCGAGGTAAGTGGTGCTGTGCGCGGATTGGCTATAGCGATAAATAATTCAACCGGGTATATATATATATATATATATATATATATAAATATTTGTACGTTTTGTAGAGGGTGGGCAGATGGAAGGACGGGGAGAGGATATGATAGGAGTGTTGGAGAAGTAGAAAATAGAGTTTTTCGATTTGCGACGAGTACCTCGTTTTTTCGTAGATTGTCGTCGTCGGATTAAATTATTCGCGACCGTATCGTCTCGCCGTTCTACATGGCGTGCGTGCGTTATCATTACGGATTTGCGCCGCGCGCGGTCAAAAACGAACTGGTGCGGTCGATAAGCTCGCTGAAACGTTTTCGTCACACAAAGCGTTCGAAAGCCATGTGCACGAAGACGGGTCTTTTACCACCTGAACCCGTTTTCAGTATGAACAATACGTAAATAATATTACACCGATGAAGCACACCTACGACGTAACACGTATGACTTATCCCGCAAAATCATCGTTCGTAACGGTTCGCATCAGTTATTCGATCACGTCGTCGTACACTGATTACATATCATTTTTTTTTTTATTTATTTATTCGCGAGTTTAAAACACGTCGAACGACATTTCACGCGTTCGTGCATTTACGACGTCACCGTGAGGGAAGGGAGTTTTATTCGGAACTGTTTTCGTGAAGTCAAAATGTTACACGAATATAATAAACGTCCGATAAAATTGTTTCTCATTCCCATGACTGTAGGTACGTTTTTTCGTTTTTTACGGCTTTATTTTTCGTCCGCTGATCGGCAAGTGCAACTTATAGTTTTCCAAACGAACAGTTTCAACGCCTTGCGTCAGAACTCACAGCGGCCGTACATAGAACAGGGCCGAAACCGTGGATCGAAAGAAAAATAATTCCCCTTTGATCTCTTGTCCACCGCCAACGAACACGTCGCCGACGAACCACATGGTAATAACTGCGTTTTACCGTCTGGCAAATTCGAATCGCACAAATCCTTTTAGCTGACGCGCGCACGGTACAATTTCCTCTCGCGAGTCTCCGGTAAAGCACGCTGCGACACGTGTGCCGGGTGCGCGCCGCAGTTGACGACGAACGCGTTCGTACTATAATCGCAGTTATTGCATTAAATGTTTATTAATATCCTCCAGAGTAGATGACATATGCCCATTATTTGCGACCGCGTATTAAAATTATCTATAAGTGTACTCGTTTATTAATTGAATTACTCTGTTCCGCTCTTGAAAATAAATGCTTATGTTCATGTTGGGTTAGGTTACTATGGGCAGATAAAAATAAATTACTATCGTTGGTTTCACCCGAGCTTAGGACTGATGGCAAGTTTCTCTGACATGGTTTAAAACTTTTCAACCGTTTATTTAGCTGTCCAGCGGTGTTCTAATCGGCCGTCTTAACGTGTAACCCGGACGAATGTGTTTTTTTCTGTTCGCCGTGGTGTATTGGTATATCAAAAATCATAATCACCTAAGTAATGAATCGACTAACCATTATGATCGAAATCAAGCATAAAACCTGTTACGCGATGAATTCTTTTCATTATAAAAAAAAAAAAAAAAAAAAAAATCGAAGTAATTGGATGAGTAGTTTCAGAAAACTTAAGCGTTAAAGATTCCATTTCCACATTTATGCATAAATATTTGTAAGTGTACAATAATATGTTATGTGAGGCATATCTGAGTTATTTTTTCTATTCCTTAAGGGTTCCTACGGTTCCAAGAAATAATGTAAAAGTAAATACTTCTATGATAAATAAGAATACTCGTATAACTATAGTTACGTATACGTTGGTTCCATTTCGATTTCGTATGTATTTTTGATAATTATTTTTCTTCGTCAACTTGATTTTCGTTTAAGGTAAACGTCGTCGTCGTGTATAATTTATATAATTATTTATATTATTGTTGTGTACACGATTAATGTTCGACATGTTCAATTTTTTAAAAATATATTTTATTTTTTACATTTATTTTATTTTTTAACCGTTTTAATATACAGGCAGCCAATTTTCCGAACTTCAAATTGCTCTTTTTCTTACAAAAAAATTGCCGTATCATGTAAATATAAATAATTTATGTAGAAATGATAAAGTTTACTAGCCGGGGCTATTATTATAATTCAACTTTTTAAAAGTTTTTAATTTATCATTAACAATTCAAATTCCCCTTACTTGTATGCTGCCGGATGATTCGTCCGTTTCTTTGAAATAAATGTATACGTATATATTTCATAAATAATTGTTTTGAATAAAACGTTTCCCGAGCGGAACCAGTACACCAAAAAAAATTATGCATCAGGATTTCGTAAGAAACTTACTTAAACATTTCTTTGCCATCTCTTCTCTGCGACGAATGGGAAAGAAAAAAAAATGATTTGTTAAAAAAAAGAAGTAAAACTAAAATAACATATAACTATTTGTAACTTACCCGCAACGGAAAAATGTTGTGAATTTAAAATATTCGTAATCGTATTCCACCGAAGTAATTTATGGAGTTTTATAGATTTATTTAACTCAATGGTGTAAAAAATTATTTCTGTATTTTGTTGTTGTACTTGATCGTGTCATATACGTTGTACAACGACGAAATTAAATTTATAGTAAATCTCATAGAGTCAATGCCATACGATAAAAAAATAAAAATTATAAACAATTAACGTATGCGACATATCTATACGATTTACGAGTATAATACACTCGTTCTTGCTTTCTTAGATTTTCTCGGGTGGATGCCGCTACATGCTTAAAATCGGTTATAGACTAATAGAGATCCGGGAAATTTCGTTGTTGTGTAACATTTACGTGTCTCTGTTGGTCTTTATTAACAATAAATGTAAAATACAAAAAATTTTTATTAAATAAATTTAGGTGGCGAACAATATTTTTTTTACCGTTGGTCTGATGAACGTCTGAAATATGCGTAGGTATACATGGATTAATCACATTTAGTCCCTTGAGTAATACTGTACATAATATGTACTATAATTTATTAGGCTAATACAAAACAACTAAGCCCTAATACAGTTCAAACATTCTAAATCATAAATCAAAAGCCTACGTTAAATGTCTAACGCTCTACCTTATATTTTTCATTAAACTCTCCGTTCAAATGTAAGAATTGAAACCGATCGCGAAGCAGCTTTTACAAAAAAATTCCATCCAAAAATCTTTTCCCATCCTAACTCCTTTATAACTGACCTGTCAATATTATAGACCCCTAAAGATCGTATAGTGTAATAAGACTTAACTAAACAACAGATAACGTGTCATTACTAAGGGTGGCTTCTCCTTTCACGCGTTTCATGTTATCTTTTCCCGTTATACTTTTTACTTATTACACCTGTGCCCTGGGGATTTTTATGCATCGTATAAAAATAATTGAAATAAACACCGTGTGTTGTATGACTAACTCCGGGCGGTGTGGGTTTAACGAATAATTGTTTTGTTTTTTTTCCGCAGTGCACGGCGTCGTGCGAAAAGGATGGCTTGAGGTACAGGATATTGCAGTGCGTATGGTACGGCACCAACAAACCGGCCGGGACCGCGTGTCGTGACCAGCCCAGGCCGCCGGTGATGAAGACTTGCACCGGACCGCCGTGCGCACCAAGTAAAAACACGTATTGTACGAGCATTTTCGATCAAACGACACGCGCGGGTAGTTGAGCACTAGTGTAGGACCCGATATTATACTCGTTAACGCCATCCCTGATGCAATTTACTACCTAATAGATAATTAAATTATTTCCCTAAAAAATAATAGTAAAAAACCTCTCCGACGATACGATACTTTCCGTATTAGAAACTATTTTTTTACATTGCATTGTAGTCTACATAACGATAAATGTTCACCATCCCCTGAATATTGGTATTATTTTTCTGTTATCGCTCGAATTATATCACGAAGATTGTTTATTATTGAAAAATACATTTTTTGGGTCTTTCCTATCAAGATATGCGAAAAAAAAACTCACCACAAACATGAATAAACGAAACTATATACCTACATCAGTTTATTTTGCGATTGAAATATAATTTTAAACTCGAAACGAGAATAACTAACCGAGAAACGTACGAGTACGCACACTAGTTTTATTTTTAAAAATTCAAACTAATCCCGGATAAATTAAGTTTTTATTTTTAATAGTAAAATCATTACAAGAATTTATAAGAGAAATTATGTTCAGCTGCTGATACTTAATTTAAAAATGTTCGTGTTTTTGAAAAAATAAATAAATATCCAGCGTCCTCTGCGGAAAGTTGTTAAATAATACATGTACTTATGCCCACTATAATAGGGAATTTACTATCAAGACATGGAATCAAAACCGATTTACGTAACACCCTGATTTATACCGAAAAGTACGCGTTCCACCCTCATCTGATACTTCTTACTCGTAGACTAAATTGTTTTTTTTTCTCAAGCAAAACGCCTAACGTACAATCTGTAATATTTAAGTTACGTACGTGTAACGTGGTACACTTCTCTGAAATTAATAAATTTCGTATTAGAAACAATAGATTTTATAATTTTAATCACAGTAACCGATAAAGAATTACGCAGTTAGTATTTTTTTTTTTTTTTTTAATAAATTGTTGTACAGAACTTGTTGGATTATATTTTTTTTTTTTTTTTGCATTTTTGCTGACAATTTTCGATTCGAGGAGAAAAATTCAACTGCGATAAATTTGGCTCGACTTCAAAACCACCCGAAACGGCGCCACTACGGCCGTACGTTTTGCCCAAATAGGAAATACTACAACTGCACATCACATAACCGTTCTCGATCGGTATCTAAAAACATTTAACATCAGTATCGTACTGAAATAGTAAACGCCGCGATTGAACCTTCGTCGATTAACATAAAATATATACTTTACCATCAGTGTTGTATACAGATCATTTTTTAAATATTCGAATAAAGATAAGGGATAGTTGATGAAATAATTGTCTGGATGATGATAAAAGATATGAAATAATTTAATTTAATCTATGTAAAGATAATAATCATCGTTTGTTGTTCAGAAAAAATATAACAATTTTGATTAATGTAACTTTATAAGTCAAATAAATGTTTCTATATTTTTAAAGCATTTTAACAATAAATTTTGGTTTACAACACCATACGATTTGGTATCAATAATTATATTATTTATTATTTTTAAATAATGCATTAATATTTTACCTATCGGACAAAATTAAAATTATTTAAATTAAATTAATTATTTTTAATCGTAATACACAATAACAATGGTATTTAAAATGCCTATAAAAATATTAAATAATTAATATTATACACCTAATAATGAATAAATAAACAAATATTTTACTATAAAATCGTATTATTATCTTTTTTATCCCCGTTTTTCCTTAATTTTTTTTTTTTTTTTTGTTTTGTTATATTCGACACTTTTGAAAACTACTGGACATTTCTTACTTTTGATCCCCAAAGTACCAACTAATTATAATTTTATACCAGAAATCACTCTTAAAGTAGAAACTCGAAACGACTTTAACTGCTCCAAAAGGTGATGACAAACACATAAAAAAAACCCCATACATTATAAAATCGATACATGGGGGATGTATCGACTTAACAACTCCGTTCTGAATCTAAAATTGTATTAAAAATTGTATTTTATCCAGATAAATGTATTTAGATAATTTCATTATTAATCTAGGATTACGACTCAGTTAACTTATTTTCTATTTATACAGATAATATAAAAAATAAAAATAGACCTATCTAGATAAATTAATTTGAATTGGATACAATTTTGTATACGATGTTACAGTGATAGTGCCGCCTTACCCGTCACGTCGTGTTGTAAACGCGTTTCGACGTGTTAAGTTTAGGGTTTAATAAGCGGATGAAAATGATGATTTGTTGACGATTTTTTATTGCAGAAGGCGAATGTAAGGATCACAGCAAGTCCAACTGCAAGAACATAAAACAAATGAACATGTGTCACTTGCGTCAATATCAAACACAATGTTGCCATTCGTGTACATGATGTTGTATTGCAACGATATAATATATTCTCTCACCGTCGTCGTTTCAATTTTATTTTTCTATTTTTCGTTTACTATATGTATTTTTTTTTTTTTATTATTATTACTGTTTTACTATTATTTTCGTGCGTTTATCGACGCGTTTTTTTTTTTTTTTTTTTTTTTTAAATTAATCCAGTGTACATATTACATAATTATTATAAAATCGATCTACGAGTTACGATGATACATGTGTGACACGCGTCTTATTATTGAACTAATAATAGTTTACGTATTTGTATTTGTTGGATAAGTAAAATTATTTCGTTCCGTCGGGTGGAAAGTACGTACGGTAATGCGACAATATTTATACTCGCTTCGTGTACGATAAACAACTCATCGGTTAAGGACGTTCGCAGCAGTCGTCTTTCGATTTCATTCGTTTACCGTTGATACGTTCGGTTGACAGCGTGCACTTGTCCCTCCCATTCTCCCCCTTCGCAGAAAATGAAATTTATTTAGCAGAATGATGCAATCAAGTTGGGTCACACATTCATTTCACTTGAACGCGGCCACCATCGCACAGTTGTAGTGTTGTTGATCGTAGACCTCATACACGATATGATTTCTGTTATTCATCTAGCACGGATCAAATGTACTCTTAACGGTTTCGTAATCAGTCCTTCGCCCCGGAACCGAAAACAATACGTGGTGTTTCTGTTCCCTTTCTCCAATACTCCGGCAATACATTCGGGTACGACATATTTTACGATTGAACGTGCGAACATCGAGAATTTTACTCGACTATGGAACCGTCCATTTACAGGCCAACGGAAATGAAATTAGTGAAACGACTAAGAAGTAAATCCGTAATCGTGTTCGGTACACACGTATGTATTTTTCAATGTTTTATGACTTAAGTTAACGTTTGTAGTACACATTTCGTATTGAGGCAAACGTCGGATGCGAATAATGGTTTCCCAACCGCAGCGTACTGCGGTATTCGGGTAAATGTCGTGACGTTTATACGAGTTGAACACCTGTTTAACAGTTTCGTTACGAACACTGTAAACCGAATCCGAATGCACTAGTACGGATACTGTATACACTAATACGGTGGTCGATTCTGCAGCGGTTTTGAACTCGGTAGTAAATGCTAAAGTAGGGTAACACGGCCCCTGGTGTCCCGTAATGCAACTTTACCATCGACTGTAATAGCTGCAAGTTAAATCGTATGATAAATATCATAAGATAAATCATGTGTAATCATCGTAAAACCCGTCTGAGATACCGAACGGCTAATCAAACTTAGCATATTTAACTTTCTTATCCGTTCAATAATTGATAGTCGGTCTTGTATCGTTCGTTATAATTCGACAGTGCACTCCTCCGCATGAGTACTACCTTGTTCCGATGTATTATTATTATTAATTTTTTTAATTCGTGCATGGCCTTGATGATCGGAAGCACACCGTTGGTTTGTATCATGGCAAACTTTTGCCCGATCCGATTCACTGTATTTTCACAGATAATTAATTTTATAGATCCTTCTCGACGCACTACTATATCATTCCTCTATTCTATATTATTTTTATTATTTATCTAATTACATTTCAAACTCTTAAGCACATCGGCCCTAAGCACTCGCGTAAATTGTTTTTATTTTTATTTGTATTCTTATTACTGTTGTTTATCGTCCACTTATTAGTTTGTACTACCATTTTATTTATTTTTATCGTTGTAAATAAACCTGACTTGTTTTGGGCCTCGGTCTGCATTTGCAAAATAAATAATTTATAACCGTAATAAAACGGGGATAGGATCGACTTCGTTTAGCGACGTTTATCCCGATTTAGAAAATATTTTGTGTCGTGTACGCGATCGAAACGGTTTTCGGTTTCATCGCGTGGTGTACGGCAGAGAGAGAAAACATCTATTGAAGTCGGTCGGTACGTAAATCATCGGTTGCAATAACAATCGGTTTTCTTCGGCGCTGACACGGATCGTCCATTCGCAATAATCAAATACGTAACGTTTTCTGAGCGTCCAATTAGCGCGGAAAACCGCAGCTTATTTCCCCATTAGGATCGAACGACAACCCTTAACCCTTAACCCATATTTTTGTTCGAGTACTAATGTTATGCCCATGGACGTCATCAGGAGAGAGCAGGACGGGGCACTTGCCACCCCCCCCCTAGAATTTTAAAAATGATTTCCAAAGTATTATCTGTAACGCGCCAATTTAGTAAATATAGATTACTTTAATATAACATAGATATTATATATAGAAGAAAACTATCTTTGATAATAACTGGATTATTTTATCTTATCATATATCTTACATTTGAGGAAAAAGAACAATGCATAAATAAAATGTAAGCATAAAATGTATGAAAAAAAAAATCTAAATTCATTTTTTAAATTCATTTTGCCCCCCTCCCTTTAAGAAAATTTCTGAGGACGCTCATGGTTATTCCGTATGGGTCGTCAGACATCGCTGGGGCAGCTGCGAGTATCTGCAAGTAAAAAACACGAACGGCTGTACGCCCCCCGCAGGACCCGAAACTTGGTGTGCTCGGACGCAGATAGTGCGGTTCCGTTCGAATAATAATGTAACACACGTTACACGTTTTATTTTTTTTTCGGATATTGTTTGTACAATCCTCCTTCGTACAACATGAAACGATAAGGCCGAATAGCGAATCAACGTGTTAACACGGTAGTAGAGTACACAATGGCCGCGATCGCCATCTGCATTTCTGGGCATTCGAATACAGTGTTTTTTATGACGTTTTTTGTTTTGTTTACCGCGTACTGACTGATCGATCACCGTGCCTGATGTTGTGTCATTGACTCGGTGCGTGTGCGTGTGACGAGGCGGGTGTTGAAGGAATTTTTGTTCGCTCAAATTTAATAAAAAAAAAAAAATATGGTAGGTGTGTAAATCCGTGTGAAAAAATATTGGCATTCGTGCGGATGACCTCACGAGTATTTCCACAAAATTACGTGTCGAACCGTTTCCTTTTAGAAAAATTCACAAACATATGGGTAATAACAATTATCGATAAGCACAGTAACGCGAACAGACACTGTATCAATTTTGCTTATATTTTTAACGTTTTTGACGTCGAACACGAACTTACGACAAACGCGCAAACTTACAGCTTTCGCAGAACTTCTAAAAATATTTTCACATTTAATTGTCATTGTTATCATTTAACCCATCGGATCCCTATTCGTTTGTGCTGTGGATGCATAAAATAACCGAACACATTGTAAACATTCTACCTCTAAATAGTTAATAGAGACTGTCATGTACGTGAATCATAATTTTATATGAATTCAGAACAAATCCCAAATATTTCACGCACACGCGCGCGTTCACGATACCGTTAAAGGTTGATTTTTGAATAAAATGCATTTTCTTGAAAAATATTAAATATTACATTGACACGAGCGTGATGCATTTTTTAAAGGTAAAACTTGATTCGTGTTCATCATTATTTTCCGGTAGTTCTTAATTTTCGAACTGTCGACCGTCACCAATGGGTTTTATATTCTCTTCGATTCGCGTAATCTTGTGACCGATTGTTGTACCCCGTCGAAAATTTAAATGGAGTCGCGTACGGGGGCGATCACGCATTCGCAACGCTCAGTTATTCACAGCTATAGAAATAAATCTTCGACAATCGTATTTTTTTCCATTCGTTTATTTGCTACGTAATCCTTGGCGGTTAAACCGATGTTTTTGCAAGCGAACTATTTTTTTTCTCAAACATTATACCGCCCCGTGTTAAAATTGCCTACTCTACTCTACGATAAAACTGTTGCTGTAGTCATTACGAGAGTCCTGTGCCCGGTCCGCGTTTCGTTTACGCACACCATAAGATATTGGATCGCGTCGGACGCGTGTCTGCACGATTTGTGATTCGTAACGATTTCTCATTTCTATACACATCGACACGTCGATTTTTTTTTTATTATTATTTCTAAGGATTTCCGTTTATTCTCTTTGTAATATTTCGTATAACCATAAGTTCTACTACTATCATTATTGTTAAATATAATTATAATATAATGTTATACATTAGAGCGTTAATCTTCGTTTTGAGGGGAAATAAAAAAAAATTAAAATTACACCGTCAGAAGTCAATAAAGTATTAAATATTGTTGAAATATTATTACAATACATATATATATATATATATATATATATATATATATATACATGTATGTATAAATATGTATACAAAAGATATGACTGATTTATAGAATTTAGACAATTATATTATTATGTATGTAAAACAATGTATTTGTTCGCACGAATAGTTAATTTGACCCCTCAGTTAACAGAATATAATCATACTCGTATTATTATTAGCCAATGTGCGTATTGTTTAGTATATTATTATTATTAATATTATTATTATTGTACTATAACCAATTTGTTTTATACCTTTTTATTGTTATTTGAATTATTCCGATCCCGTATTATATACCTACGTTATATTATTATGTAGTAATAAAATACGTTATACTGTAGAATACCATTGCCGTTTGTCGAATACAGAGGCGGATTTAACTTTTTATACGGCTATAGACACTAAACATCTGACGGTCGGATCATTAAATATAATGGTACCTTTGAATTTTCAGACGATTTTTTTTAAGCCTACTTTGGAAAAACGTCAAAAAAAAAAACGTGGAACTATAATTTTTATGAACCACCATTGTTAAAGCCACTGTTCGAACGATTAAGTAAACATTAAATCGTTTTTCGTACACTTAAAATATGAAATTTTCTATTATTTTATCTAGTTATTTGTTTATCTGTGTACGAATGATGTGTTTCGATAAAACATTACGGAATTCGGCGCCTCTTAAATTTTTCCGCCTTAAGCAACTGCCTGATTGGGGAAGTCCGCCTCCGACTGAATATCAATATGATACGTGTTCGTTTGCAGACATTCGACAAACGGCGAGAGAGAAAAAGATAATTTGTATTTATACATAGGTAATGTTCCAACAGCACAGCATACAGGATGCAAATAGTTGTGTGCGGTACACCTAGCCTAATTTACCACAAAAGTAATAATAACTATTAATATCACACCCGTCCTCCCTTTTTCCCTCCGCGACGGTATTGTGTACCGCTGTTGTATAACATAGATGCACGTCGATATATATATATATAAGTACATACGGAATAGGAAATCGCTCGCGTGCCGCGGCCACCATAGGTGGTCGTAGATTTTTTTTTCTTTATTTCCGTTCGTCATTTAATATTGTAATACGCGTATTTAAATATTTATTCGTATATAGTCGTATCTTTCCGTTAGCGTGTAATATCGATTAACGGTTACGTTAAAATATTATTATCATTGTAATTTGTTTCGTCGTAATAATAATATAAATACATTCATTATAACATGTTAAAATAATACTGTACAGCGTTGTTGTAATGCTTTATAATACATAGTTGTGCCTGATCAACTATTAGGATAATATATTAAATATAAGCATGTTGATTTTAATAAAATATAATTATTATATTACTGTGCTAAAATATCAAGTAAACGAATTTTCTAATAAATGTATTTTTTTTTTTTATTGTTCCCCTTTAATTCATCATGGACATTCGTGTTATAACGTTTTGTCCGTACGATCGTTTACTCTTTCTGTATACAATGCCTAATATTTGTGAACCGAACATAAAAATTAATTATTCGGAATTACATGCTAATGAAACACATTTGTGACCAGGAGAGCATTGTCTAAAAAGTAGTTCTAAAAAAAAAAAATGCAAAATGCATCAACTTCCGAGCCTTAGTTATCACTTATCTCCAATTAAAATAATTTTTACTTTTTTTTGAATACTAAATGTATGACGATGGATGTTAGTGACCCACGTTTTGCTGCTCGGTCGTGGTTTTGGTTTTTGCTTCCCGATTAGGAGTCAGAACCGCTCTAAAGCGATATTTTTTTGGAAATCCTTATCAAGGAACCATGAAAAATATGTATTTCGTAATATTCTGTATGAGTATGTAAAACAATCTAATAAAAATGCAATATATTATTTATTTTTTATGAAACAAAAAAAAAAAAAAAAAACTACAAATATGAAATATTTAATTGTAATTGTAATTTATAATCGTATAATAAGTATTATAAATATTAATAACACCCAGTTATAAAAGTACATAAGGATACTACAACACACTCACATCTATATAATATTTATAATGAAGTAAATACAATGTTAGTAAGAAGCTCACGTTTAACGAACATGTTCTATCCTTTATTGGACTGTAGCAAATTTATGAACTAGATCTTTTCATTGTGTATCTTTAACTATTTCAAACTCAATGTACAGTATAGATAAATTTGTCAATTTCTCTTGGTTTAAAGATGATCATAAATAATTTTTTATTCGTTTCAATATTGGAAACAAATGTTCTTCACTATTATTTAAGATTCAGTATAGATATATTATAGATAGCATATGTAATGTATATATAAGATGGTGTAATGTGGTTAATCTTTAAAATAATTTCGACGTTAGGAAATTAGGAAAGATAACTATACTCCAACAAAGATATGACTGTACGTATTCATAATATATTTTATTGAGTGCTATAAAGTTATATTTTAAAAATAATGTTTATTATTGACTCTGAACTGTGTTCGATTTAACATCAAGAAGAGAAATTGACGATATTTATTATTTGAAAATATTAATTTACATGCTATAAGTATAAAATTACCTCCCTCGAGAAAAACCAAACCTAAATTAACTTAATCTAATAATTTTTTTTTTTTTGCGTTTAATAGACGACCGGACGCAATGCTTCCGTCCGGTCGCCATCGCTGTTTTTATTTTTCGTGTTAACAAATAAATTACAAATAATAGAACCAATATGTAATAACAAGATCAATAATTTAATGTGGGTTTCAGTTCCGGTGCTAGGTAACCTAATCTAATCTTTGTTATCCGGTCCTGCATCGAGTAACTTAAAGTTTTTCGTCCTTGCTAATAAATATGCTACGTGAAAACAGCTCGTGTATACATCACGTTTCGCGACGAAAACGTGAAAAATCATCAAGTCATCTAGGAGGCAATAACACGTTGTCGGTACGACGATTTGTCCAATAATTTTTTACTATTCATTCCTATCGATAAAAACAGTTAACAATACATTTTAAAAGACTTTATGGATTTGACCCATTCCGTGGTTTAAGTTTAATACGTTTGCGGAAGCAAACCAAACGGCTTACTGCAGCTCTTTGATCGTTTCATTTTTAGGTACCGTTTTTAGGTATCGTTCGGAACACGGTTTCGTAGCCGATTAGCCGATCGCTGTCGACGGGGGTGGACTGGGCATCGAGGGGCCCAGGGGGAGGGTTCAACTGGATCTATTATCATTACATTTCAATTAATAAACATTTTTAGTTAATTGTGCTCAATTCGTACAAATTCAGATATTCTATTAGTAAATGATTAGTGTTTTACCTTTATATTTTCATATCACATTTTTTGTACGGGTAATTAATATGAATCTATCGAAGGCCCGGAAGGCGATCATCCCTTTGCCTCCTGACCAGTTAGGTTAGGTTAGGGGTGGCCAGACCGTCGAAAACTTCTATAACGTTCTGGACTTGGTTCGCCGCTGTACCGCGAACTAGGACGGTCTGTTAAAGGTCAGTCCGCCCATGTACACCACGATCACTCGCATTTCTGAACGATCGTCGAAACTTTTTCAAGTTAAATCTGTATTTCTAATCAGTATAATTCGTCGTTTGCGTTTGTCAATTATAGTTCGGTCGAATAAATCCCGCTCAAACATCGCCGGTATAATTTGATTTCGTCGAATTGATCGCGTCGAACGAGTCGAACACGTTGGTTAAAATTCAAAAACCAAACGGTGTGTACGGTATACGGAATGTGCGTCAAATTATCGGTACTGCGTGTAAAAAATGTAGTGAATCATTGAATTGATTCTGAACAACAGACACGAATGATGAACGATTCGAGAAGCGACAAACGAACGCAAAAAATGCGATGTGGATTCAGATAGAATCGTGTTGAAGTGGAACGGCCGTTTTGGGTTAAATCAAAACCGCGGAAAGGTTTGTCTTGTCCACGGTTCGGGCCCTCGAAACGTTCGACCGCGAATCGTTTACCATTTTAGAGAGTGTTCAGAAATCGAAAAAAAAAATAAATAAATGCCAATCGTAATATGATTGACATTTATTTATTTCTATATTTTATATATCATATATTTTTATATTTTATTTTATTATATTTTTATTATTTTTATTTTATTTTTCATTTGTTTTCGTATTATGTTGCCCGCGAAAATAACATTATCATGCGTCGGGCCAAAGCGATCACGGTAATTCGGCGATAACACGATTACCGTGCCACTAAGTACGCGCTGTTGGCGACACTGTTGCAACACGGTCTCATACCGCGGTTGCTTCCCCACCGTACCGAGACCGCGCAACGAACGATACGACAACATAACCTAAAAACGTCCCGAGGTACGTCTCCTTTCGCGATTGCTTTCCACGTTCGGAAGTTTAAGTCGTTCAAGAATCTAACGTTTCCCGTTCTCTATCGCTTTCAGCGTCCCGCGACCTTTCGTATCGGTGCGAATCAATCATGGTGAGTATTTCTACACCGTTTGCCGTACTCATTTCGGCCGGTATAATTATGTTATCATAAACGATCGTTTCTAAAACGTTGCGTTTGGTCTCGTACGTTGAACACTGCGCGCCGATCTGTTTTACGTGTCCAACGTTCGCCTTCAGCTCCGTCGCGCTCGGAACGACTTGGGTCCGTCACTCCTCGCTGTCTTACGTTTTTTTGACAATGCGTTGACCGAGTTTCGTCGAACCTTGCACCGTACCAACGGAATGTTTGGCGGTTGAACATATCTATATGGATGTATTTTGTTTCTGTTCAATAATATTGTGTCTCGCGTTTCTTTAGAACAATGTTCTTAATTTCAATTGCATTAGGTCTCTGTTGTATCGTTCGAGATATTTCGTCCATAAAGACCGTACAGTCTTTGCGATCCTTGAATTCCGATAAGTAATCATTTTGTAAATTAATTGTTCTGTAAAGTTGTTTTGTAGAGATAGTGACTGTCTTTAGAAATTGTCTGGTTTCTTCCTAAACGTTTAAACAATTATTTTTATGTGATTACAACTATTACTATTGCAATCTTATATAAAGTTAATTTTTTACTTAATTTAATGAATATTTTTCCAACGTAATTAAAGTTAAAGTTTTGAAATTATTTTTCTACTAGATTGAACTTGAGACTCATGATCAAATTTAAGAATATAAAATTTTTGATTTTATACTCCGTTTTTATTACTATAGGTACATTTAATAGATGTTGCGAGTACAATTATTATTTATTTGTTGTATTATATGTAATATTCAATTCTGTGAATGTTATTTCATGAATTGGCCTGTTGATGTAGTTTCTACTTTAAGTTAATTTTTATTCATATCTTCAGATTTTGTTTTATAAATTGATTGAGACATTAATTATAAGAGTACAATATCTTATGTTTTCTTAATTAAATTTTTGATTTTAATTATCCTAAATATCTTCTTTCTTAAGTAATTATATTCATTTCTAAAATGAATTGTTTAATAGTTTTTTTGTTTTTATATTATGCTGTTTACATAACTTTTGTGAAATTGGTCATTTTTATAGTATATTTATATTATTAAATTCAATTTTTAATCGAATAAGCTATGGAATAGAAAATACATATTTTTAAAGTCATGTAGTCATTATAGTCTTGAAAACTATCAAATTAAATTAGATGTTTTTATATAATTTTTTTTTTTAAATTTCCAATTTGTATTTTAATTACAAATAAAAAAGCTGTTGATTATTTTAATTTTGGTACTTCTTAGGGATTGATTATTTAAAAATATATACCATATTTGTCTATATTTATTGTATATAAATATCAAAGCCTTTTAAAATGTAAGTTTCTGTTTTTTAATAATTAATTATCTGTTATACCATATACGAGGTATGTTCAAAAAGTACTAGGACAAATGTTATTGCGGCTAATATATATATGATAACGTTTTAAATTATAAATAGAAGTATTCTCAATGTATTAGTGAATATCTTGAACAAAACCCAAAGTCGCTATCTTATTTCTGTTTAATATTATACGTGGTTAAATCCATTCAGTTTGCTTCAATCTCCAATTTCGTCATGTTCTGAAATGAATGAATAACATATATGCATCATGTTTTGCTTGAAACTTGGTAAAAATGCAACTGAAACATACACAATGATTAAAACTGCTTTTGGGGACGATTCTTTAAGTCGTTCTATTACTTTCGAGTGATTTAAACATTTCAAGGATGGTCCACAGTTAACTACAGATGATCCACATTCTGGAAGGATGATGACATCCAAAAATGATAATGTGGCAAACATTTACGAAAAAGTGAGAAATAAACGCAGATTAACTGTTTGTGGGTTAGCAAATAAAGCAGGAATCTCAATTGGGTCTTATCATGAAATTTGAAAGAATTCGCAAAAAGTGCTCAGTATAATGGCAAAGTGGAACCTGGTTTCTTCATTATGACAATGCGCCAGCACATTCAGCATTGTCAATTCATGAATTTTTGGCTGAAAAAAAATACCTGTGTCTCACACCCTCCCTATTCACCTGATTTAGCCCTGTATGATTTTTTTCTTTTCTCGAGAATAAAATCAGCACTTAAAGGACAATGGTTTCCAGACTTAGAGGAAATTAAAGCGTATACAGCAATAGAACGCAAAGCTATAACATAAGAACAGTTGCAAAGGACTTTTGAAAAATGGCAAGATTGCTGGAATCATTGCATAACGTTTGGATGAGAGTATTTTAAAGGCACTATCTTAAAATAACATGTAACTTCATTTTTATAATTATTAAAAATAAAATTCTGGTACTTTTTGAAGAAACCTCGTACATTTGTAAAATATGATTTATTAAAATACAATATAAAAGTTGGTAGTTTCTGGTTATATATATTTAAATATTTTAATGACTTACCTTTAATTCTATATGATGCATTCCATGTTACAATGAAATATTTATCATTTAAGTTATTACTTTTTTAAAACAATATTTGAAAAATAGTTTTTTTATGAAAAATTTCAGGATTTAGAATTTAAAGATGTTGAAAACACTCCTGCTGATCAAAAGAGGCACAAAATCCGTATTACATTGACTTCCAAGAACATAAAAAGTTTAGAAAGTGGTAAATAATTTTATAAAAATGTACCTTCTTAATAATTAAATAGATACATAATTTAATATTTACTTTACAGTGTGCTCTGAGATGATTGCTGATATCAAAAAGAGGAAATTGCCTGTGAAAGGACCTGTACGTATGCCAACAAAATTCTTGCGTATCACTACCAGGAAAACACCTTGTGGTGAAGGTTCAAAGACATGGGACAGATTCCAAATGAGAATTCACAAGAGAGTGATTGACTTAAAATGCCCAAGTGATAAAGTTAAACAAATCACGAGTGTCAATCTTGAACCTGGTGTAATTGCTGAAGTTAGCATTGCTAGCGAGTAATGTTTTTTTTTTATAATTGACGATTGATATCTGTGGTACGACAATTAAGATCATGTCTAATAAAAGTTATAAAATTACATCATATTAATTTTCTTTTTTTTATTGACTGGAATATTTATTGGTATTCTGAGCCACTAGTGATATAATATGTTTGATAATATATATCCTTTTTAATTTGACATTAGGTATAAATCTGATGTAGCTCAATTAAATATTTTAACTATGTTATGTATCGTGTTTATGATACATGCAAGTTTGCATTTATTGCATTTTATAGTATTCTACGTTTCTAAATTAATTTAATGATAAGGAGGTTAAATATATATATATAAATAGTGTTATTAAGAAGTTAAACAATTGTCTGATTCAATATACCTCAATATAAATAATTTATTATAGACATGGAACGGTTAAATATTTTTGCAGCTAAATTATAATTTCAAGACGTGATATTAGTGAAGTATAATGAATAATGGATTGTTGTTTTTAATATATATTTTAGTGATTTAATATGATATACCAAAATTGTTAATATCAAGTTATTTTAGTGGAAATATTTCCATGAATATTATTTTATATTTTATTTTGACTAATATACAGTTAAATCTGCTTATTGGAGATACACGGTGATCTGTCTGTCCCCATTATCCGAATGCCCCAATAAACCGATTTAAAAAAAAAAAAAAATTATAAAGCAATGAAAGTGCATTATAATAACTTAATTATAAGAAACATACATACTTAGTTTAAACTTTGTTTAAAATTATTTGTAATACATATTTTTATATCGTAAATTATATATGTACATATTTACTATAAATTAACCTAAAATTTTTTGTACAAAAAAATACACTCTTAATTCATTTTTTGTTGGCTTGGAAAAATCATTTATTCTTCTTTGATGTAATTTATTAAAATTTAGCTTGACCAATTTTGTATGTGGGCTAGTCGACTCAATTATTTTCATAGAATATGTTGTTGTAGGAGATAAAGAAATGATTAGCAAAAGTAAAATAAGTAGATAGGTAATTATTATTATTTAAACATAAGATTATAAACGTGGTCTAAACTTGTTAAATACTGTATATAAAATGTGATAATAAACATTATATTTCTTACTTTTAATATGCCCAAATAAAGTCCTTTGTATATCATTGCTTAAATGTATGATGTAAGCAATAATTAAAAATCTGATTATTTAAAGCTATTAATTTATGTTAATAATTTAAATAGAAATTGTGACTGAACATTATAAAATTCAAAATAAAAAATCAGTAAAAATAGTAAAGATAAATAATTATTAATCATTTTATTAGTTACTAATTTAAATCTATTAATCACAGAATGATTTTAGCCACATCTTTGCCTATTGCTCTGTTAATTTTTTAAAATGTATATGGATTCGATAAGTATCAATGGCTTAATGCACAAATGTTGTAAGAAATATTTTTGTAATTTTACAGGAGAACGATTTAAAATTTTTAAAGTTCTATCATAAGAATTTACAAAAAATAAAAAATTGTTCTAGTAAATTTGTGAATTATGAGTTCAATGTTAATAGCAACAAAAATATGTACTTAGTCATCTTACCCAAAGAGTATGAAATAAAGTAATTTTATAAAATCTATATGGAAATGATAAGCCTGAAAAAAATAATGGTTTATAAATCTACATGCTGTTTAAATTTTTAATATAAAAGTGAAGTTTAATCGTTTTGAATTTAAAATTGTTCATATTACATTTATATGAATTGGCGGTGAACTAACTATTGACAATTATTTAATAAAATTCTAACATGCTGTATTTTATTTTAAGTTTCATTAATTTTTTTATTTTTTACTTTTCGTTTTAAATAATAATATTAGTTAATAACCAATAATATTAGTTTTTGACTAACAACGATTTTTAGCATCTGTTATACATAAATTGATGGATTATGTTGATGTTTAGATATTATAATTACTAAAAAAACAAATTGAGTTTCTTATCCATCGATTGTGTCAATTTTTATTTAAAACCTTGCTGTATAATTTCAAATACATTTTGTAACTTCTGCTATTGTTATGCTAATATTTTACTTATGTAAAGATATATTTAGCTGATATGTTAATTATTTATTTACCGTATTTTTTTTCATTCTGAACCCTATTAAATGATGTGGACAAATGTTTATTCAATATAACAATTATTATTCATTATAAGTGAAGTCTTGAATGGTATTTGGATAAAAAGCGCTGTACATTTTTTAAGTTATAATAATTATTGTATTGGGTATGCTAGTTGGGTGAGTCTTTGATATAATCTAACGAGGGACAACCGTCCCCCTTTTTTCGGTCGGCGGAGTTTTTAGGTACCCAATAAAACTATGTATTAACTATTATATATGTTTCTATAGTGTAATAGGTGATGGGTAACAAAATATTTGATATTTATAATTTCATTTCATTTTAGTTGACGTCACTACTTAGATGCATTATACATGCATCATTAATATTCTAATTTTCGCTTAATCATCATGGTAATGTACGGCGATCTGCATAGGCAATTCAGGTACGTAAACACATAACAATACAGTTCACAGGTATTCAACGTTATATTACACATCATTAATTGGTACTTGTTTGCACTTGCCGAAAGACTCGCGATCCGACGAGACATAAGTCATTGTCTTTCTCCATCTGTACACTCAGTGCCAGTGGCGTAGACAAGATTTTTAAATGGAAGGGCCTAGACGCTTTTGGACAGGTTAGGTAAGAAAGGATTGATTGGATTCATCTCCCTTCTTATTGGCGTACATACGAGTGTGCCAGGTATGCTTAGCAACCCTCAGTTTATTTCGAGGTAAAAATGTTGATTATTAGAGTATTATTTTGCATTTATGAGATTGAATATATTCCAGTTTGCATTGGTACTGTTCTAATGATATGGACGTAAAATATTCATACGTTACACATGTACGCAGTTGGAGTATTGGTTATTGGGGTTTATCGTGTTACTTATTTATCGCGTATGTGATATTGCGATGATTGTCATGTTTTTTTTTTTTTTTTTTAAATAAATACTATTTAGGATTTTGTTTTTGTTTATCGTCTACCGGATTTCCATAGCTTATTGATAAAAAGTAATGATATTCATTAATACTATTTAGTTATAAAAAATCGTCACATTTATAAAACAATAAATTCTGTGCCAGGTAGAATTCCGCCCCACGGACCATCTTGGGGTGAATGATTTTAGCATTCGCAAGTTTTGGACTTAACGTGCGCTTATTTCCAGCATTTAAAAATGGTTTTAACAATATTAAAATACAATTTATATCAATTGTAAACTAACGGTGGTCAGCTGAGGTAGATCATAAAACAATAGTGTTGCCGCCGCAATGTAATCTGTAGGAATTAAGCGCTCGACGACCCGAACAAACCACCACCACCGGCCGGCCAATTAACACATACACGCACACTTAATCAGATGATTATCTTTTAATTTAAATATTTGTTTATCGTGTGTTATGTAACCGAAAAGTCCGTGTTTGTATATTATAGTGTTTTACGTGCGATTTATTCTGTGTCTCGTGTCAACCATCGTGATCAAATATTGCATTTTTTTTACTTTTTGGGTTTTGCTATAAATTTGAGAGCTAATTTTTAATATTATTGTTTGATGTAAAAAAGTGAGCGCTAATCGCCTCAGAATTAATATTTTTTATTATTGTTTTGTTGGAGCAAATCGCCAATTTTACTGTTATTTGTGCGCGCTAATCGCCATAAGCAATTATTATTTTCTGTAAAAGTGTGATAATTTTTATATTTATCCATAATATTTAGGTAGTTGTCGCTGGCCAGTCAGCGTTCCACAAATTCGTAAGTTTTATTTGTTATTTATTTATTAGTTAACAATTTTGTTATTGTTGGGCTAAAAGGGCAATATTTATTGATTACCATAATTATAATATTATTATTATTTTGTTGGGCTAAATTATTCTATCGCTGTGAATTATTTATTTGTTATTCATTGTTTTTGTACCAGCATTACTAATAATAATTTTTAAGTACCTACACACAACACACAAAATACACACTTGACACATTTCAACATCACGTGGCTCACTAATGGTTGCGCGGCGAACCCAACCACTACACGTTGAGCTATCACACCAAAACGTTTGTCGGTGTCCGGGCGGCGCGCGTATTTGTCGTACCCGGCCCAAAAGGATGGACGCGAGTCGGCACAACGTCCACGATAACCATCGAGGAAAAGGATAGTAGTAGTAATACGCTCGTGCGCACCGAAGACGAACATTTCGTTATTCGTCGACGTTCGGTCGGTGCCAAAGCGGTCGAACGCCACACGGGGTAGTGGTCCCCGTAAGGGACGCGCGGAGGCGTCCGTATCGCCCTTAGCAGTCCTTCCCGTTGTCGGCTGCGGCCGTGCGTCCTTCCGGGCCGGTCGGTAGTCGCGGAGGCTTCCGACTGGTAGACGCGTTACACCGCCCAGTCGGCGGTGCGTTGCGCGCGGGAACAATCGGCTGCGGAAACCCGTCGCCGCCGCCCTCGTAAGTCCCTCGGTAAGTTCGAAACGTGTAACGCGAGCAGAGGGGGGGGGGGCAGGATTTTCTTCGCGCGGAGAACGTATCTATTTTTTTTTTTTTTTTTTTTTGGATCGCCGCCAACTAGCAGTGTACGTCCGAAAACGTTGTGTCCGCGCGTGTTGTACGAGCTCGCGCACGTATTTTACCGCCGAGCCGGAAGCCGATCTTTGTCCGCGCCAAGTGCGAACCCCGGAAACGAGTGCCGCGTCATCCGGGTACGGGTAACAGTCGCGAGAGCGGCGCTCGTGGCCAAAAAAAAGTGAAAAAAAAAATAATAGTATTCCTCCCCCCGGAGGGCCCGGTTGGACCGTCGACCGGTACGCGAGCCAACGCTGGCGCGCGCGCCCCGCCGGTGCGTTTGGGGCTTCGTCGTGATCGTTTGTGTTCCACTGGATAACGGGAGGCGGGCGGTGCGCGTAAATCGTTTACCTCGGAGCCTGCGCAGGCGGTCGGATATCGAAAGGAAAACGTTTTAAAAAAAAAAAAAAACCGTTTTCGCG